TATGCATTCACGGGTATAGGCCCAGCGAACTGAAGCAGTGAGCAGATGGGGATGTGTTCCTTCACTATTGAAAGCTTCCTCCCTGCATTCCCACAAGCTGTCTGCACACTTACAGTAACACCGGGAAGAAATGGCTGATCCGGTGGGATGGAACGTAAATTTAGCAATGGAAGGAAATGCATGATGAGGTTTAAATGCAGACATGGAGTATTCAGCAAATATGAAAATAGGATTCGTGTGGATCTCTAGATCAGACGTGAGTTTTCTACATTAAAAACTGGAGCTTGTCTGGGAACTCAGATCACAGCCCGTGGTTGCTGCGCATCTACTGTGCTGGGCTGGGCCTGGTGAGCAGACACCATGAAAGGACAGGGCTCTTAACGAGCAAGGGCAAGAGACAGATATTCAGGCTTATAGTACTAAGCCAGAATGGCTGAGAGCAGGAAAAGAAAGAAAAGAAGAGTGATACTGGAGAGCCCGCAGGGGAAATGAAAAAGGAGGTCAGGGATGGAAGAAGGCTTTAGGGGTGAGTGTGAAACAGACCTTGCCTGAAAACAGCTACGGCCTCAAGAGATACTCAGACATGAGGAAGTGCTACCCAAGGATACCCTAGGGTGAATCTCTGAGATTCAGGAATTCCTCATTAACTACAAAGCGGTCATGCACGGTAGGGCAGGTAAAGAAGAGGAAAAAGCCGCCCTGGGAAGACAGGCGGCGTTGTGGGTAAAGAGATGCCCTCTAATCTGTCTGCTAAATATCAGTGAAAAGACAAGGAGGCAGGAGAGTGGGGCCAAGACTTCTGACAAGGGACCAGTCTGGTGGATACAAAGGCTGTCTGCAAGCATAGTCTCCCCAGGACTGTGGGAATCTATCACCCATCTGGTTGACTGTAGGTCTGATCGCTTCTAAAATGAGCCAGGACACAGGCAAAGGACAGCAGTAGGTTTGAGCAGAATTTACTAGAGTTTACATGTGCATTCTGCAGCCCTGTTCTGCCCTCCAGAAGCAGGACACGTAGTGTCTGTGGTTACAGCGGGGAAAACAGCATCCCCGGACAACTAGATGTCCATCGAGGAGGAGCATGGCTGTATCTGAAATCACAGCAGCATGATTGGTATTTCAGTTGTGTTTTGCCTTCTGTGATGCAAATGCCATTGACATTTTATGCTATCATATTTTTCATCACTGAGACATCCTGGAAGGTGTTTTTTGGGCATTCATCTCATCAATACAGAATGCTTTGATAAAATTTTTCTATACAGCCTTTATGTCCTGAGCATGTTATCCCAGTGTTTGGGAGGAGGAGGCAGGATGAGCGCTGTGAATCCAAGGCCAAGCAGAGGTTTACAGTCTGAGTGTACATGAGCCCAGTCACTAAACATATAAAAACTAAAAATCTAATCTATACACTCCTGGGTATACAGTTGAAGGACTCTGAGGCAACATACCATAGAGTTAACTGCATATTCCTGCTTATTGCCATACTAGTCATTATAAGTTACAGAATCAGCCACCATGCCTGTGAATGAATGGATAAAGGAAATGCGGTATATATACACAACAGAGTTGTATTCCATAATAAATAACAAAATTGTATATAGCCATTCTGGTGACATTTTCTGTTGCTATAGTAAAACATTAACTAAAAACAACTTAAAAAACGAAGGGTTTAATTCAGTTTACAGGTTCGATACCATCATCAAGGGGAAACTGAGGAGGAACTCAAGTCTGAACTTGAAGGCAGGAACTGAAGCAGAGTCTATGGAGGAGTGCTGTTTTTGCTGGCATGGTCCCCAGGCTTACTCAGTCACCTTTCACATATACTCCAAAACCACCTGCCCAGGGGTGGTACCACCCACAGTGGGCTGGGCTCTACTCAATCAGTAACCAAGACAATGCCCCACAGGCTTGCCTGCAGGCCAATCTGATGGAGGCATTTCCTTAGTGAGAGTCCTTTCCCAGATGACTCTAACTTGTGTCAAGTTGGCAGAAAACTAAGCAGCACATTACTCATTGACCTGCTTGAATGCACACGTCACCTTGCTCTTATTTGCACTGGAGCCCCTTTGTCTCTCTTTCTGTCTCTGTCTCTGTCTCTGTCTCTCTCTCTCTTTCTACCTCTCTCTCTCTCTCTCTTTCTCTCTCTCTCTCTCACACACACACACACAGCCTCTGCCAGGGTCCTGCTTCTCCATTCCTTCTTTTCTCCTCTTTCTGTATGGAGTGTGCTGATTGATGTGTGAAGCATCTTATCTGCTACTTCTAAAAGATTCTCTGTGGAAATCTACTAGAGTGTAAGCATTTTGAGATCAAAGATCCTTTCCACCTTCATTCTTTGTCCATATCACAAACAAGGCTGACTGATCATAGACTGAGGGTTTAGATTCTTGGTTACACCCTTAGGTTATTGACTGTCAGCAAATTCTTATCAAAATTGAATTACAGCCTGCCAAAGTCATATTACAGATCTAGAAGAGCAAAATGCCACGAGATATTTGTCTTAGTTATCTTAATTTTAATGGTCATTTTGGTGCCATGAGGACGTATGGAGCTTATAGGACTTGGTACTTTCAATGCTTTCGTCACTTTCAACCTCATCTGTCTCCCTAGCCTGACTGATGGCCTTCCCCTTCCCTGGTCATCAAGAGCGAATGTGAAGTCAGCTCAGTTGTGCATCTTCCCAGCTCCATTAGGAAGGCTGCATCAAGATCACCCTGGTTTGCATTTCCCTGATCGCTAAGGAGGTTGAGCATGACCTTAAGTGTCTTCTGGCCATTCAAAGTTCATCTGTTGTGAATTCTCTGTTAAGTTCAGTACCCCATTTTTTAATTGGGTTAATTAGAGTTTTAGTGTCTAGTTTCTTGAGTTCTTTGTATATTTTGGAGATCAGACCTTTGTCTGATGAGGGGTTGGTGAAGATCTTCTCCCAGTCAGAAGGCAGCCTTTTTGTCCTACTGACAGTGTCCTTTGCTTTACAGAAGCTTCTCAGTTTCAGTAGATCCCATTTTTTCATTGTTTCTCTTATTGTCTGTGCTACTGGGGTCCTACTTAGGAAGAGGCCTCCTGTGCCTATATCTTGTAGACTACTTCCCACTTTCTCTTCTATCAGGTTCAAAGTGGACGGATTAATGTTGATGTCTTTAATCCATTTGGACTTGATTTTTGTGCATGGTGATAGATTTGGATCTACTTTCATTTTTTTACAGGTTGACATCCAGTTATGCCAGCACCATTTGTTAAAGATGCTTTCCTTCTTCCATTGTATACCTTTAGCTCCCTTGTCGAAAATTAGGTGTTCATAAGTTTGTGGGTTAATATCTGGGTCTTCTATTCGATTCCATAGGTCGACTTCTCTGTTCTTATGCCAATACCAAGCTGTTTTCAATACTGTAGCTCTATAATAGAGTTTGAAGTCAGGGATGACCACTTTGAGATACCATCTTACACTTGTCAGAATAGCTAAAGTCAAAAACACCAACGATAGCCTATGCTGGAGAGGATGTGGGGTGAGGGGAACACTCATCCATTGTTGGTGGGAATGCAAACTTGTGCAGCCACTGTGGAAATCAGTGTGGCGATTCCTCAGGAAACTGGGAGTCAACCTCCCTCAGGACCCAGCAATTCCACTCTTGGGAATATACCCTAGAGATTCCCTAACATACTACAAAAGCATTTGTTCTACTATGTTCATAGCAGCACTATTTGTAATAGCCAGAACCTGGAAACAGCCTAGGTGCCCCTCAATAGAAGAATGGTTAAAAAAGGTGTGGAACATATACACATTAGAGTTTTACTTAGCAGTAAAAAACAATGACATCTTGAATTTTGCATGCAAATGGAGGGAAATAGAAAACGCTTTACTGAGTGAGGTAAGCCAGACCCAAAAAGAGGAACACGGTATGTATTCACTCAAAAGTGGATTCTAACCATAATTAAAGGTCTTTGAGCCTATTATTCGTGATCCTAGAGAAACTAAATAAGAAGATGAACCTGATGAAGATTATTTAGCTATCCGCCAGGAGGTAGGAAATAGACAAGAGTCCCAGGTAACCTCGGGTGCATGGGGAGGGGTGGGAGGGTTGATGGAAGGGGAGAGGGTTAGAGAGAAGGGAGTAGGGGAGGAATGGGGAAAGCTTGGTGGCCTGGGGTGGGGGGGGGAGGGAGGAAGGATGAATATGGGATCAGGGAAGAATATATTTCAACTAAGGGAGTCATTTTAGGGTTTACAGGAGACTTGATTATATATGGGATCCCAGGTCCAAGGAGAGATCCCCCAGATTGTTCTCTGGACAGAGGAGAGGGTGCCTGTACCGGCCGTGGCCCATAACCATACTGATGTATATTTTGCTTATCACCATAGATCCTTCATCTGGCGAAGGACGGCGATACAGACGGAGACCCACATTGGAGCACCGGACTGAGCCCCCCAAGGTCCAAATGAGGAGCAGAAGGAGGAAGAACATGAAAAAGGAAATCAGGACTGCGAGGGATGCTATCACCCACTGATTCAAGGGAACGGATCTAATGAGAGTTTACCAAGGCCAGTTGGACTGGGACTGAACAAGGACGTGATCTAACCAGATTCTCTGAATTTGGCCGGATTCTCTGAATGTGGCTGGCCCGAAGTCTTTCTGAAAAGCCATTGACTATGATACTGGGACTTGTTTCCTCTGCATATACTGGATTTTGGGGATCCAGTCTGTTTGGATACTCACCTTCCTGGACCTGGAGGGAGGGGGGAAGAACTTGAACTTCCCACAGGGCAAGAAACCCTGACTGCCCTAAGGGACGAAGAGGGAGGAGGAGAGGGAGTGGGGGGAGTGGGAGGGTGTTGGGAAGAGGGGCGGAAATGGAAACTTTTATAATTTAATAAAATTTACTCTCAAAAAAAAAAAAAGATCACCCTGGTTTGTCCTTAAATAACTTCATCTACTTGAATAAGGAGAGTGAGTAAAGTGAACCATTAGAAATGTTAGTTTGAGAGAAAAAGTTACACAAAATCAAAAGCAATGCTCTTTATTTGTAACAAATGCATGCATACAGAAGATTTATGCAAATTGAACTTCTTGCTGAATTATCAATGCCACACAAATTGCCCCAACAGATTTGTCCCTGAATGTTTACATAGACTCATAATACACTAGGGCATAAAAATCAAAAAGTTCAGTTGAACTCAGCAAACCCACCTCCTGCTGTGAGTTCAGTATTAAGAGCTATAGATAGTACAGTTTTGATTTCCCAGCAAGCCTTTGGTAGGAGTTCACAACAGAAGTAAATTGTGCTGAGACCTGTGGGAAAACACTTAAGTTCACCGAGCCTTCCTTATGGTGCCCTCTAGTGAAAGGCACGGAGTAATACACCTTACAGAAAGCTGCAGAGACTGGATTAGTGTTGGGCATGGATTGAAAGAGAGCATAAAGACTATAATCATAAGCATGGACATTTTCAAAGGAAAGTTCAGTCTCTAAATTAAAAAAATTAGAAAAATTTATAATTTAATTGATATGGCATTAAGAAAATCCAGGCATGCCCAGCCATGATCATCTGAAGGGGCTATCTATTCATTCTTCATGTCCACCAGTGTGCCATAGGATCTACTATTAGGTATTTCAAGCTTGGCAGCATGGTGTCTGTTTTTATTGTGATATGACTCAATCCTTCACTCCTTTTCCACATCAGCAAAGCTCATGGTGAATTTACAATAACAGCCCCCTTCTGAGCAGGAACTACCCCAGGCCTTACTGAACACACTAGAAATGGCTACAGAGTTCAGCTATTGGAGAATTTTATGGCTCCTTTTATTAATAATTCTCTACAGTCACCAAACACGATGATAATAGTATCTCATGAGTGGCACTTTTGACACGTTCTTGAAGTATGTGTTTCTCATGGAAAGAAAGACCTGCTTTTCACAGCTGTCGAATATTTACATGTTTTCTAGGTGTTGCATTACAGAGCTTGGAAATCGGCTTCATTTCTCATCTGAATTCGTATACTCCTTCAGGCATCTGCCCACATCGCTGTGTTTCATCTTCTCTGTGAACAGTTCGTCAAAGACACTCCTCTGCTTCGGAGTGAAGTAGTTTATCCAATCACCCACCACTCCTGGAAACACAAGAAATATATCAGTCAGGAAGTTCCCAGAGAAAATCTGTCAGCTCTGCAGTCACATGGGAGCTCTTGGTCTCTCCTGGTGAGATGATGGGGGATCATTTTTCACTTGTTTTTTTGGGTGTTTCTAGTGATGACTGTGGTGGTTGCATATTAATATCTATAGTTTATAATTACTTATTGAAAGAAAGATTTAAAATATATAAGTTGTAGGAGGTTGCTTATTCTTTTTCTGGCTGCCCAGACTCCTGAAATAATCACACAGAAATTATATTATTTGCAATACTGTTTGGCCAATAGCTTAAGCATACTGCTAGCTAGCTCTTACATCTAGAATTAACCCATTTCTATTATTTTATATTTTATCATGAGGGTCATGGCCTACTGGCAAGGTTCCAGCTAGCAGCTGGTGTCTTTCTCCTCTGGTGGCTCCATGGCGTCTCTTTGACTCCTCCTACTCTCTCTACCTATCATTTCTGGCACTCTGTTAAGCCATTGACCAAAAGTAGCTTCTTTATTCACTAACAAATAAAAGCAACACATATACAGAAGGACTTCCCACACCATTTCCCCTTTTCTGTTTAAATAAAAAGGAAGGTTTTAACTTTAACATAGTAAAATTATTTATCACAAGACAGGTATCAAGCAAGAATTATAGTTACAATATTTATATCTAATTTATCTTTTATCATGACTAAGGAAAACTATAATTATAGCTATCTATTCTTCCACTCCATCAAAGACTCGAGAAGAATATATTACCTAAGTAAACAGGAAGTGCATTGTAAAAGACTTCCAAAACTCTTGAATTGACAGAGACATTTCGCTACCTGTGAATACCATTGGTTAATAAAGAAACTGTGTTAGGCCTGTACAAGACAGAAGTTAGGTAGGTGGGAAAAACTAAACTGAATGCTGAGAAAAAGAAGGGGGAGTCGGGAGAAGCCATGTAGGCATGCCAGAGACAAATGCTGGAACTTTACCTGGTAAACCACAGCCATGTGACGATACACAGATTAATAGAAATTGATTAAATTAAGATGTAAGAGTTAGCCAATAAGAAGCTAGAGCAGATGGGCCAATCAGTGATTTAATTAATACAGTTTCAGTGTGATATTCAGGTGGTCGGGAAACAAACAAGAAGCCTCTTACAACATATACAGATTTTTTTTGTTGTAGTAGCCAAGAACATTCCAGTTTACGTGGGACCAAAGCATAAGTGAGGTAGCAAGCACAGTGTGAGTTCAGCATTCACCTCCTTGGGTCTTACACAGAGGAGGCTGGGCTGGGAGGCACCTCAGAGATGGGTAGCTCACTTTAGTTTTAGAAACCCTTTCTATAAAATTAACAGTGAAGAACTGGACACACAAACACCAGTTTTCAATACAAAATGTTTGGTGTTAAGTGTACATAGTCTGCTAGCCTCTCCTAATTTGAAAAGCCATGTTTCTTGAGCCCTCAGAACTGACTTTCTCACTTTCATTATGCTCCTGTGTCAGACTTGGAGCTCGGGTTCCATTCTTGGGGTCTCCTTGTCTTAGGGCCAAGGGCACACTAATTTATCTCTACGCTTATTCTCTGTGATCTTCTGTGCTGTGGGACAGTGGTCTATATTCTGTCAAACTGATTGGCCAGTAGCCAGGCAGGAAGTACAGGTGGGACAACCAGACAGGAAGTAGAGGTGGGTCAATGAGAACAGGAGTATTCTGGGAAAGAAGAAAGCTCTTTCTGCAGTTGTGACCCTGCCAAAGAACAAGCAAGATGTGACTGCCTTACTGAAAAAGTCACCAAGCCAGTGGCTAACACAGATAAGAATAATGGGTAATATAATTTGTAAGAGTTAATAAGAAGCCTTAGCTAATGGGCCAATTAGTTTATAACTAATGTAGATCTCTGTGTGATTTCTTTGGGACTTAATGACTGTGGGAACTGGGCAGGACAGAAACCCCAACAACACTTTTGTTTCCAATTAGCTCATAAACCTTTTCAAGCAGGGGACTATAATGCATGCTTTGTGTATAATTGAGAGCTAGGCATCTTAATCATACGTTAATTAAACACACGGCTGGATTGCATGCCGGACAATGTCACCAACAGAAAAGAAGTGCACTGTATTCTAGGAATGGCTTCCTTTTTCACAGTTTGTGTATTTTACTGAAAAACACTGATTATTATATGATTTGCTTTTTTTAGACAGGGTCATATTATGTAGTTCAGGTTGTCTTAGGACACACATATTATATTGCCACACCAATTCCAGTGTCATCGGTGTGACATGACATATGTCATTACACCGGATGGGAGCTATGTGTCCTATGGGACCAGGCTCCCTGGAGGTCAAAGGCAGACAGCCCAGTATTGGCCGCCCTTGGGGCATAGACGGGTTTCTCGATTAGCTGGCTATGCGGGATATGGGTTTTGCACAATCTCTTTTATAATAATGATATTCTATATATCTACAAGACAAGGATTATCTATTCAGGAACAGCTCTGGGATAGGGAAGCACAGTATGGGAATTATAAGACTACAGTAGAACCTTTGTCTACACGGGGGTGTATGATGAGCAAGGGAATAGATGGGTTAATGTTGATGGACAAAGACTGTTATATTATACATTGAACTTCATGGATAGGCTTGCTAGATCCCAACCCCCATGGTGTCTGCTGCATTGGAAGGTATTAAAAAGTATATTTCAGCAGGTGCAGAGAGCTGATTAGGCATATTTGGTCACTAGATGAGATAAAGAAAGGGTTAGAAAGAGGAAGGGCCACGATAGTGATAACGAGACAGAAACTTTCTATTCTTAGATAATATGAAACCACTTGTCTGAGGTTTACGTTCCCAAGGACAAGATTTCCTCTTCTAAGGATGCTTTATGTCTAACACCTGTCCCTGATAATATGCTTTTCTTATAATATCGCTGATGTGACTAAAAAAGGCTTTCATACTGTGCCAACTACTGATACATGACCTTCTGATTTGTTCTTTGTTTGAATACTATATAATGAAAACATGAATTCAGTAAAATCGCAGCAGATTCCAACCACTCTCTTGTGTGTTGTGTCTGTTTGTCATTCGACGAACTTGTGCCTTCCCGTGTACCAAGACCCTGCTTCTCCCACGGTCTGAGTGGCTCCCCTGAGCCAGTCCGTGACATTATATGGATTAGGCTGGCCTCAGATCTGCCTACCTCTGCCTCTAGAGTGCTGGATTAAAGATGCTCACACATTCATCATATGAGCCCAGCCCATATAAAACATTAATATACAGAGATTTTATTAAGATAGACAGCAATTATCTGAATGCAGAAAACTATGACCTGTGGACTGAAACCTGCTAACCATATTGTTTTAGGGTTGTTTTAAAGATTTATTCATTTTGTGTGTAAAGTGTTTTACATCAGTACATGTGTCCAGTAGGAGCTAATCTTCGTGTTTATATCCAAAACATGGTGGTACTCAGGTGTTGTTAGTTACAGGAAGTGGTGGTAGGGTTTCTTCTGGAAATGTTTCCAGGGTCACAACTGTGGTAGGTTGGGGCTTGGGGGTGGACAGCCAGCACAGGAGTGTCTCATGTTTATGGGGTGAGATTTGAGAACAGTGATTGCTTTGTTAACAGGATTCTCAAAGGGTGATGTAATACAAACATCCCTATGAGGACTCAGAGCACCCTCCTTTCTGGCTCTTGTATTTATGCAGCCTCTCTCTTTCTCCTCTTTGCTCTTTTTGCCTTCTCTGAGCTCTCTCTATTTTCTCATCTCCTCTCCAGAATCCCCCCTGACCTTTTCCAGACCTGCCTCTCTCTAAGTACCACACTGTCTTTCTGCCCTACATTCTCACAGCTCATGCACGTCAGCCTTTAGGTCTCTTCCTTTTCTCTGGACCACCCTTCCCATCTTCACCACTGTGGAAACTGCCTAGAGCTCATGAGCAACGGACAGGTTCCCATGTGTGGCTCTGGCTTTCCGTCTAATTCTGGCCCATGTTTTTTCTTGGCTCCCCTTGGGCTGCTTCATGCCCTTGGGTATTAAGGCCCCCTGAGAGCCACCTTCGGTCCCTTGTGGCTACCCACTCTTTTTTCCCTCCCAGATGACTCTGCCAATGGCTCCCTGACTGACTTCGTGATTAAACCACACAAGCAGGACTCCTGTCACTGTCCTGGGGTGGCCCATGTTTCCCACCTAAACAGCTCATCAGTGTCTTGCTCAGTTCCTCTGCCTCCCTTCCACACTCTTCTAATCACATTTACAGCCTTCTCTACCACTTTATGCCACACTGACCTGCTTGTGTGGTTCCTTCTTCAACAAGAAAACAAGAGGTTAGGGAAAGGTAAGAAGAGGGAAGAGGGGGTAGGGTATGGAGGGAGAGGAGAGGCAGAGAGGGGGAGAGGAGGAGTGGGGAAGAGAGGCACAGCTTCTTCCGAGGTTTAAGCTCTCTGACACGAGTACCTTCTTATCTCCCACACTCTGCTTCATGCATACTCCTCTGCATCAAGCTGCACCTTTATCTTCGAGTGTGGACTCTGACCCCCTCTCTGCCATTGGCTCCCCCGGACAGCATTCCTCTCCCACCATTTTCATAACCATTTCTCAAACTTTCAGTCCCGGATCCTCAGGAGAAGTATGATCCTGCCCACACACTCCCTCCCCAAAGTCGGTGTGGAATATCCCTTTATACTCTGTAAAGTTGTAGCACTGTGATCCATGTAACAAAGAGCTGAAGGGCCAAGAACAAGGCAGAAAGAGGTTAGGCAGGATTTCTAGGGACAGAGAGGAAGAAAGGCAGAGCCCTCAGCCAGATGCAGAGGAAGCAGGATGTGGAAAAGTAACTGAACCACGTAAAAGAACGTCAGATAATAGATAGGAGTTAATTTAAGTTATAACGACTAGTTAGGAACAAGTCTAAGCTATAGGCCGAGGTTTCATAGTTAAGTAGAAGTCTCTGTGTGGTTATTTGTGAGCTGGTTTGTGGGGACAGACAAAGACTGTCCACACAATCCTACTCACTGTGGCTCAGGCTGTTAGCAGTGTGCCTTTATGTCTGGAATATGAACTTTTGGAGAAGTGATGCTGTGTTTTATTCAATAGTTATGTATTAGTTCCAGAATTAATAGCTTATTAATATTTACTGAGTTGAATATTTGGCTCCTTTCTAAGCGTTGGTTCTGTGACTGTGCATAAAAGTGGCTGAATTACAATAGAAAATTTGCACAGTTAAGATAATATCTGTTTTACAATGAGTTGGCAAGTATTTCCTGTGGGGGATTATATTCGGCTGTGTGAAAGGAGGCGAAGAAACATTTGTTCTCTGGTAGGAATCGTGCATGCATCTGTGCATACTAATGCTTTGCCTTTATAATTTTTAGAACATTTCTCCTACATCTGGATAAAAATTCACACACTTTAACACAGTTATAGGTACTGTAGAGCCTGCTCAGAGTTTGAGAGCATTGGCTACTCTCACAGAGGACCTGAGTTCAGTTTCCAGTACCCACAACCATCTAACTCCACTTTTAGGGGACCCAATGCCCCCTTCTGGCATCCTTGGGTACTGCACCTGTACTGTACAGACATACATGCAGACAGAACACTCTTACATATACATTTTTGGAAAAAAAAGATTCCACATCCAAATATTCACTACTTGCTTCTAACTTGGACTTGGACTTGGAGAATCACTGGGGGAGATAAATTCCTTTTCTTATGTCTCTGTGCACAATATGAGGTCCATTGTGAAGACATGGCCAGCACAAAAGCTCAACGAGAACTTTAAACACAATCACTGTCGTCCTTCTGTACACAGAGGAGACTGGTTCCCGGGTGCTGTGGAGTAAGCCTCCCGTACACTGGGAAAATGTGTCGCTGTCATTGTTAATAAAATGCGGACTGGCTGATAGCTAGGCAGGATTTCAGGGCAGAGAGAATCCTGGGAAGCAGGGTGAACTCAGAGGAACCACAAGTCAGACACAAAGGAAGCAAGAGATGAGCGTGCTGTACTGAGAAAACCACTGTGTGGCAGAGGATAGATTAAAAACATGGGTTGATTTTAAGGACTTTCACTAGAACAAGCCTGAGCTATCGGCTGAACATTTACAGTTAATAAAATACTTTCTGAGAGGTTATTTAGGACCCAGGCACTGGGACATGGAGAAACTTCACCTACTCCAGAATTCTCTGTCACCAACATTCTGGGATGCACATTGCTTGTATAAAATAGCATCTAACCTCTGCATATATAAAACCTGCATATAGACTACGAAATCTTCCTCTTATGGTTTATCATCTCTACATCACTTATTACAATCTCAATGTCGGGTACATAACAGTTCCTTGTTTTGGGAACAATGAAAACAAAATGAGTCTGCACATACTCAAGTATTTCCAGTCTTCATGGCTGACTGCCAGACGAGGAAAGAGCGTGTAGAAACCCAAAGCCAAGTGCGCTCCCCAGTGGAACCTCAGATGGAGCCCTCTCCTCCTCGCTTACCTTTCCTGAACACCAGGTTCCTGTCGGACGTGAGGGCGCAGATGGTGTGATTGGGGTCACAGTTTTCTTTCACTGCGTTATTCTTCATCTCGCTGAATGAGGTGTTCCGGGCAATCTTACTAATATCGCTGTCATTTACATCGATGTCAAGGAAAGCAGTTATTTTATTTAGACTCTTAACAAAATCCTGAGCAACAGGAAAATTAAAGAAAGTAAGTTTGCCTCTTATCTACATACCAAATCCATTCCTTAAGCAAAATTTATCCATGGTTCATTTGTGGCAGGATTCCCCTATGCCACCCTGGCTGCCTTGGAGCTCACTCCGTAGACAAGGCTGACTTCACACTCACAGAGACCCTCCTGCTTCTGCCTCCTGAGTGCTGGGATTAAAGGAACGTGCTACCACCCTCGTTTCTCATCCCCTGACTTGGAACTTAGTTTGGTTTTAGCCTAGGCTGATGTGAAAGACTTACTTTCTTCATTTCTTCATAGAATAGGAAGAGGACGTTTTTATCATTCTTGTGTTTCTCCCAGCTCAACACGTGATCAAACCAGGAGCCATACACAACTGAAAGAGAAGAACACAATGGTTACTGTTTACAGTGATGGCCACGCCCACCTCTGGCTCCGCCCACCTCTGGCTCCGCCCACCTCTGCCCCCTTCCCAGTCAGCACAGTGGTCAGCGAGAGACTTCGCTCACTAGCCTGGCGTGAGATTGCCCGGAAAGGCTCATTTCACTGTTATTTCAGCCAGGTGCGTGGTCAGGAGATGCTCTTGGCCACATCTTTGCACAATACTCTGATTATCTTATTTCCTTATTTCTAGTAAACATTTTTATCACTATGAAAAGTAGCAGCAAATGCAAAACATGTCTTTCTCAATATTTATATTCTGACCTTTATAAGGTTCTCTAAGGATACATTCGGCATCAGTCAATTTCTCTCTTGAAAGTGGCATTCAATATCCAGGCTTTTATCACAATCATTTTAGTCTCACTGTGTAGCCAGGGGTAGTTCTGAGACTCACAGTAATCCTCCTGCCTCAGCCTCTCAAGTACTGATATTAGAACCATGAGCTATCATGCCCAGTTTGAAAACTTATTTTTAAAGTCTCTTACAATAGTTATAGTATCTATTGTCTAAAAATTTTAAACAATTAAAAATATAATAAATTTAAAAAATACTCTGTCCACTTATCTCAGTTCAAGACTAAACAATTCAGCCTTAGGAAGTTATATGTAATCGCCATTATGTATTTTGTTGTGAAATGATACCCTTGAAAAATTCTCCAGGCTCAAAAGTAAAATATCCTTCACTGTGATCTTTTCAGCAGTGATGCTCAGAAGGGAAAGCTTGCTCTTGTCTCAGAACATCCCCTCATTGGAACCACGATCCATAAAGCAGAGGAAGTTCAAATGTGTCATTACCCATTGTCCAGGTGTCATTATCCCCCCAGTCTCCAACTCTGGCTCAACTCCAGTGTCACAGCTGCAGTATAATTAACTCATAAACTAACTACAGTGTTTGATAGTTTCAGATTTTGAGGAAACAAAACGCAAATAAATATTCCTGTACATATAGGTATTTCTCTTTATTCATTCATTCTCGCAGTAATGAGTTTCATAGTGGCATTCATGGACAGTATTATTATGTGCGATCACACACACACACACACACACACACACACACACACACAATCTAGATTCCACATGTGAGAGGAAACAGTGGCATTCATGGACAGTATTGTTATGTGTGATCACACACACACACACACACATCTAGATTCCACATGTGAGAGGAAACCCATGTGTTTGACCTTCTGAGTCTGACATATTTTGTTGTGTATATTTTAAACCAGGAAATTCTGGGACTGCTATGACGTCATTATGGAGTAGGCCTTCTCCTCCGGGCATCCCCAGGTAGACAGACAGTAAACTCCTCAAAGAGTTGCCCTGCTTTTCCTTAGCAGTGCTTCAGGCAGTTTTGGAGTCTTGTCCAATATCTTATCTCAGAATTGCCCAATGTCCACAGCAGCAGTAAAGAATTGATGTTTCTAAGAATGGCCACCCTTTCCCGAGACGCAAATCCCTGTAGAAGGAAGACTGGTTTTTCTCTCCTCCGGCCTCAAAGGATGAAGGGTGATCTCACACCAGCAGGGTCTCCGCATAAGGTCAATCTCCACCTTCTACCTCCTACCAGTAGGTACTAGGCCTAGGCCCCCATAGGATGTCACTGCCCACAACTGTGGATGCGGCGAGAGGCCTTGGGACTGCCAGAGAAGCCTGTGTCCTGCATGCAGGGATCGCAGCTCACTCAGTCCTGACCACTGGTTGAATGTAATCAACCTCACCCTTTAAGGCTATTTCAGAAAGAAATGAACTGTGGCGAGCCACAAACTGCACTTAAGAAGAAATTTCAGAGCTGTACTGATTGTAACTTCAAAGGCAGCTGTTCTGTTGGTCAGAATCGAAATTCTATTCCATGTTTCTCGAAACGGACGAAGGCAGCTGGAGAAGAGGGATGCGCTGTGCGTGCTTCCCGGCTAGCGGGCTAGCGCACTGTGAGAGTCCATTACTACTGTGCGCAGAACAGCCCTTAAGCTGCTTAGACGCTTCAAGTGACAAATGGAGCTAAGTTTTAAATCACAGGCCTCATTTTCCAAGTTGTTAATAGAGCTTCGCTGTGAAGAAAACTGAACTTCTAAAGTAAAGACAAATCCTCTTCTGAGGGAACTACTTTTCTGCCCACGCATCGTGTGTTGCAGACTCACCAGGCCCTCTCTCCCCACTCCTGGCTTTGCCTTACACCCAAATTGCCCTCCTCCCCAGAATGCCCATGGGCAGAGCTAGCCCAATCCATGTGTCTGAGAAGTAAGTCAGAAACTTTGCTTGGTAGAAACTTCCAGAACTCCCCCCTCTTCCTATAAAATGCAGGTTTCTTTGAGACATTATGTCCTTTGGATATTGCACACTTTCTTCCTGATCATAGTCTTCAATCAACCTGGTCTCTCAGTCGATGTCACTGAGGACACGCCTGTCACAACCATCTCTGTCACCCCTGTCTTGCCAGCGGCTGTAATGGCTTTACTGGACAGATCCTACAGTTCTCTACCAGCCCTTTCTGTCTTTGATGTCTTCTCCTCGTTAGCTCACTCAAACGTCTCCTTAGCAATGGTAACCTGCTACTTTAATGCTTATTTTAATAGACTAAAGAAGTAGAAAAAGACACTCAGCATTAGAGCAAAACACTTCATCTTCTCCCATCTCCCTGGTTGCTGCTAGAGGACGTTATACAACTCTGAGGTTAGACTCTGGATATGTGTGCTTCTATCCTATGGCTCCAAGGCTTCCTACCTACCTACATGCATTACCTTAATGCTCTATTCTCTGCATCAGATGTTTCTGCCTTTTTCCTGACAAATATTATAATGCAAGTCTTAGGTTCTTGTTTCTAGAAATTGCTCTGAAAATACAGCTATTTGGTGCGGGAGAATTGTCTCTATTCTGTCAATCATGTTTTAAATAAACGCTGATTGGCCAAGCAGGAGGTATAGGCGGGAAAACCAGGCAGGAAGTGGAAATGATGCAAGGAGAGCAGGAGAATTCTGGGGAGGAGGAAGTTGATTCCTCCCATTTCTGCCCAGATCATCAAAGAAGCAACATGCGAGCTGACAGCTGGCAAAGGTACCAAGCCATATGGCTAACATAGATCAGAATAATGGGTTAATATAAGCTATAAGAGTTAACAAGAAACCTAAGCTAATGGGTCAATCAGTTTATAATCTTATGGAGTCCTGTGTGCGATTTTCTTTGGAGCTTGCCGGTTGTGGGGTACTGGGCAGGACAGATACTCTAACAAGCTGGCCCCCTCACTACAGCTATTGTATTATAAAGCAAAACTTTCTGCAGCGAAAGACCTGGAAATACAGTAAGACAAGGCTTGAGAGGGAGCTAGAAGTGCCAATGTGTTCAACATTAAGGTATCAGTTTCCTTGAGCTATTAATGTGACCTGATAGCGCCAGAGCAAAACTTAGAGCTATTGTTTAACTTGAAAGCTCCTACCCAGAAATTAAAAGGTAAATGAGGTGATTACATAAGCATCTGGCTACATCACTCTACTCTATTGTCTTTATGGAAGTAGGAGCTGAGAAGATCAACCCAGGATATCACAGAAACATCCTTAAGAAAGAGCCTCCCTGGATGCACATCTGCCTCGTGTGAAACCACACCAAAGTCTCCCGTGTCTAGTAGAAGACCCGAGTGATCTTCTACAGTGGAATGTGGTCCTCTCTTAGCTGAACCTGCGGGGCCCTGGAAGGTGGGAAGGTGTGCCATCTGTTAGTCTTGCTCTGTGTGTGAAGGTTAGATCTCTGAGTACTGTGGGGCCTTGACCCAAACCACACAGAATGAAGCACAGACCAGAACAGATGCCACGCCTTCCACCTTGGTGGTCATCTAGTCTTTCTAAGCATGTGACACCTTCACAGTCCCTCAAACACCCCCTGAAGGTCACAGGGGTAGCACACCCATACACACACTTTGTTTTTGAGATGGTGTCATGTAGCCTATGTTGTTCTTGAACTTGCTGTGTAGCCCGGGATCATCTCAGACTCCTAATCTCCTGCATCATCCTCCCAAGTGCTGGGATTCTATGTGCATCCTCTGTCTTACAAATAAGAACAGTGAAGTCATTGCTCACATCCAAAGTAATTTTTTAAAGCTTTGGTTTAAAAAAGGATTTGTTCAGGACAGAGTGCCCAGATGCAGGATGTTTATATATAAGAGCCCATTACAACTAAAGATCTATTCATTCACCCAAGAAGGTGTAGGAGAAATGCCTGGAATATTTTTTCCAACCATCCCCTGCCCTCCTCCCAGATAATCCGCTATGCTGGTACTGTGGTGACAAGGCACACATTTCCCCAGCGCCAGTTAGCCTTGCTTCATTCTGGCCCGACCTGGCAATTTTATGACTGTGTTCACAGAAAACTAACATGTAGAGGAGGAGCAGCGTCACACGGCTACTGCCCGGCCTTCCCTATACCTCATCTGGGCATGTTCCCATTCTGCGTGCAGAGTCTTGGTGAGGACATGAGCAGGTCGGAGCACAGGAAGCATAGGTGAGAAGGAGCTACAATGTGCAAAATAGGAACAAAAAAATAGCGTTTGCTGTCTTGAGAAAAAGCAGACTCGGGGGTCTGTTCTGAAAAAATAATGTGTGTTTAAACTCTATTTATTCCAAAGATGGACTCGAGGCAGAGAGAGGCATGCTAACCATCTTCAAATATTTAGAAGATGGTCACGTGGAAGAAGAATTCATGATCAGGTGGTTTTTTAGACTGGACACCTTGTGGCACCATGGTAAGCAGAAAGATTTTGTAATAAACATCAAATCGTGGCTCTACTCCTCGTTTGTTATGTATCTGTACATGAGTTATTTAGCCTCCCAAGTCTGTTACTCCTTGGAGTTATAAAGTGAGGATAGCCACATCTACCACATGAGGTTCTGGTGAGGGTGAAATACGATAATATCTACCTAGTACTTAGCTAAGCATGTCCGTCACACGAGAAGCACACAGTAGGCGGTAAGGATGAAACAGTGCGTGGCTGTGTGGGGTCCGTGAGCCTGAGGTCCAGTGTTAGGATGCCCAAGTCTTCACTGTCCTGGAAGTTGTGGGAGCGACACAAAGACAAAGCGTCTGCTGGAGTCACGTAAAGTACCTGCCAGTCTTGAGGCATCAGGATTCTGCTAAATGTGCGGCATTTGTCAAGGGGGAAACTATGTCTGAAGGACGAGCTGATGGCATGAGTCCAGCCTAGTCCTCTGTGCCTCCTGCATGATTCCTTGCAGCTAACCACTGAACTACCTGCCCGCAAAGCTGTGAAATGAAAGCCCTTCTGTGTCCACTTCTGCTGGCAGGATGTGCACGGGGTAGGGTTCATTGGCTTCATACAAGCACCTGAAGGAGTGCAGGAGGGATGGGGAGTGGGGGAGGAAAGAGTTGGAAGAGATGGGGGAGATTAGGAGACTGCATTTGACCTAACCACATTAATTACAGGTATGAAAGTCTCAAACACTACATCTTTTAAACTTCAAAAAAGTGATATGTAAATAAATTACCTAGGTTAAGTAACCCAGGATGGGATGGGGGTGGGGAATTAGCAGAAAGTTGGATATTCTTTGCAACTTATTCTTCAAGTAAAAGTTATTTATTAAATGTGTAACTGAGAAAGACTTGCAGTAACCCACCCCTCAAAGAGATTGAGTCCTCCAGGCCTTCATCATTTTAAGCTCATGTCTCCTCACTTCTTAACTATCTTGGCAAACTGTCTTTATTTAGATTTTTTAAGGTTTCCCCCCCCCCCCACCGTTGAGTCAGGGGGAAGGAATGAGCTAAACGGTGGTGCAGGTGCAATGTGCCCTGAGCGGCTTTGTCAGTGTTTCCGGGAGCAATTCCGTCCCGATACCTTCCATGAAATCAGTCTGCTCATGAGGTGCTCGCGGCTTTCCTTGGGAGAATCTGTGTGTGCATATGTACTTTCTCGGTTCACAGCGTCTTCCGGGTTCCCTAGCTGCCCTGTGCTCGGCACATCATTACTTCCGAAAAATCAGTGGTGCATGAAAACAAAGTTCTTAAAAACTTAGTCTCTCTTTTGAAGATATTATAACTCACCCACAAATAAGCTTCTCCCCAGAGGCTGTAGAAAAGATTGCGAAAGAATGAGAATTTCTTTAGAAGGAACAAGGATCTCCTCGTCAGCGCATGGGTAGAAGCTGGCAGTCAGATCGAGCAAAGGTTTGGAGCATGCTTTCATTTTGAGTGAGAAAGTTCAAAACATTTAATGATTCTTTAAAAGATGATTGTCATGGTTGGGAGATGGTTCAGTAGATACAAACACTTGCAGCACAAATAACAGGATCTGGTTCCAACCCCAGCATCCAGGTTATAAGACAGCTGAGCATGTCCAAGTGCAACTCTGTACTGTCAGCCTGGCCAGGGTGGAGACCGGAGGACATCTTTGGTTCCCTATCGGCCAGCCCATCTCCAAGTTCTTTGAAAGACCCTGCCTCCAGAAGTCAAGGTGGGGAAGTAGAGAGCCTTCTAATACTCCTAATTCACTTAAAATTCTCCTGAGAACCCTGCACACCAATGTGCGTGCAATGCATACACTCTCTCTCACGCACACGTACATTCACACATACACAGATGCATGAACACACACAAGTAAATAGATACAATTTAAAAATAAAACAATGATGGTTGTTAGATTTACCGTCTCCTTTGAGGAAAAGCTCTAAAAACGCAGCCCAAGTTTCAGGGGATGGAAGGTTGGGGTTGTCTTTGTAGTAGTGGAACAGGGACACGGCTGTATCCTTCGGATTCCTGATGATGTACACAATCTGTTGGAACACGCAAATCCCTTATTCCAGGATGACAGTAACCACAACACACAGTATCTCCCAAGAGAAAGCTGTGGCTAAAACTTACCTGTGCAAACTCTACCTTTTATTTAATAGCTGCCGTTGATGACTCAATGCTCCTAGGTTTCTGTCACTGGGAATTCAGTGTGAATAGTAAGAGTCATCACTGACGAAAGCCAATGTACAGTTTTGGATTCCAGAGGTCCTAGAAATGACCTGGCTTCTGTGTTTTTAACCAGCTCCCAGCAGACATGGTGCCCACAGCCTGTGGACAGCTTTCTAAATCAATTGTCTAAGTGTAGTCCTGTTTTTCAGGGTCAGGGATGGGAAAATCCCTATTTATTGTCAGGCAGAATTATTTTTTGCTTGTCTATATGTTAGAAAACACTTGCATGCACTGTTATTTTATAGGAAAAACTATAGTTTAGACCTTCCCTTTTTGACAATTAAATTCCTTGCCCAGTAGAACATCTGAGATTCCCCTCCCAATGTCTAGGAATACTGTAACTATTATTCAGCCCAGAAACATGTATTCAGTGTGTGCTGAATGCCAGGCAATACACAATGATCCGGTTCCAAGGAATGCAACAGTGAGCAAGATGGAAGTGATTGGCGCCCTCTCTCAGTGTATAGTCAGCTGAGGGAATAGACAATGACATGTGTTCTTGACAAAGGAACAGGTTCTAAGACAAGATTACAAAAGGAACAGGTGAGAAGCCCCCAGAAATCAATAGAAGCTGGATAATGGAGCATCTCTGATCATAGCCAACATTGCAGTAGTTAAGGAAGAGATGTTCTTGTGTTTTTAATTGACAATTGGGGCAGTCACAATTTGCCTAGATAAGACAGAATTTGCTGAGTCATTTTTAATACACTGCTATCTTCCAGTAGCGTGTTCATAGTCCACATACTGTGTGGGGCACATGAATAGTGAGTGCCTGGCTCCTCATTAATTGAGAGATGTGTAAAGGTCAGTGTGTACAGGAGTAGAGAACCACCTTTACCCGGCCCTGCCCAAGATCCTCTCTAGCTTACGTAACACAAAGCAACCTCACAGGCCTTGACCGTCTCTCACTGTGCCAGGCTTCCAGAAACCCAAGGACTGGCAAACTCACTTCTAAAAGACAAAATGCAATAAAGTAGCAAAGGTTTAAGCCTCCACTGATCAGTTAGAAGTAGTTGTTTGGACAGAGAAGCAAGCCTCTGGAGAAGCCCCGCTGTTATAATGTCTGTGATATCTACTCAGGAAAAGAATGAAACCCATTGTTGTAGATGTTGGAGTCAACCGAGAAACCTGAAGAATTACTGAAGAAAGTTAGGAACTATAAAGGAAAGACAATGAGATACTCTAGGAGAGGCAAGGAAAGGGCTATTAACTAAAGCATCATGAGGGGCTAGAGAGTTGGCTTAGTGGTCCTTTCTGTTCTTCCAGATGAGCTGAGTTCGGTTCCCAGAACCCACATCGGGCAGCTCACAAACACCCGTCATCCACATCCAGAGGAATTCAATGCCATAGGTGTCCATGGACACCTCTACTCATATATGCATGCTCCCCCCTCTCTCTCACATACACACAAATAAAAAAATCACGATTAAGCATCATAAAATGAGTTACAAAATATAAATTTCATGCCAGGGATTTTCCTAACAAAAAGGGAAGAAGGAAAAACAGGTTAAGAAGAAAATAATACAACTGTAACTCCCTGGTGGCCTCTTCTGCCCTTCTACCACACACCCCAGCTACACATGTGGTGCAGAGACACACATGCAAGCAAAACACCTATGCACATAAAGTATTTTTATCTGAAAAGAGAAACTAAGTGAAAGTGAAAAGTTTTAAGGACATTTAGAGAGAAGAGTCAGCCCTGCACAGGAAAGGGAAGCTTGATCCACTCTCAGGCCTTCAGAATCAATCTACAAGCCCATCCATGGAAGACCAATAGTCTACATCCCATCCATGGAGACCAATAGCCTACAAGTTCATCCATGGAGGGCAAATAGCTTACATCCATCCATGGAGGGCCAATAACCTAAATCCCATCCATGAAGGACCAATATTCAATTATATGCAGCATTGCATCATGTGCTGATAGGAACAAGATATTCAACTTGCATTTCAATGGATAGCCAGAGAGGGGAGTATTTGCTGAGTCACTAATTTTATCCTTACTTCTGGAGATCAGAAGGGAGTTACAATGGCCTTGGTTTTCCCTTAGGGCCATTAAGGAAGGACTGTGCCTTAAGGCTGAACCTTCAGTGTGGAGATTAAGAAGCACTTATCTGAACTTCAGGTTCTTTACTCTCAAGTGGCCTGTGACCTACATGTGCCATGTGCAGGGGACAAACACAAAACCTCCTGGCTTAAATATGCCATTAGTTACTGTAGTTAGCACTTCCCTCCGTCCTTCCAAGGCTGCACGCCGCGAGCAGCACTCACCTTGCACTGCTTCTGTTTAACAGTTCCAGGTATCATCTCGTAGCTCAGATGTGTCGGGATGACTCTTCTCTTCGGGACCATCTCCAGCTCTTCCAACTTAGAGACATCTCCCCACTCGATAGGAGACGTGAGGGTCATTCCAACATTGGGAATGTTCTCGATGATTTTTGCTACCCAGTGGGTTCCTGCACACACACAGAAGAGGAAAGGCAGCTTTAATTAATTAAATGTCGCCGCTGAGGAAACGGATGGAGACGGTTGTAATATGGTGAGCAAGTTAAGCAAGGCAAACGTGGTTCTAATCAGCTCATCAGGATGCCCCCGAAACCGGATGAGATGCTAACTTGCTTTAAGTAGAATCAATCCTGTTACAAGAGTGAAAATGTTTGCATGGGGTGCTTGCTGACTCCCTGGCAAAAGATAAGTTGTTATTACTCATTTCTAGACCCCTCAAAGCACCAACTGACACACATGTTCTCTAGTGTGATTCCATGTTCCACGAGCCCTTGAGCCTTCTCATACAGGCTGTGTTCTCCCTTCCCCCACCACACACACAAGCAGTTGTCTCCCTTTTCTGTCTCCCCACGGCACCCAGCCGCTTCGTCTGATAGAATAAAAAGCAGAATACAGTGCCATGGTGTGTGTGTTCACCTCCCCATCTACCCCTTGAAGATAGACACAGACCTCCGTGTGTGCATAGGACAGCATTTGTGCAAACCAAGCATTTGGATAGTAAATGTTTGTTACTCTCGGAGAGCTAAACGTTTGCTAGCCTAGAATCTGGGAAACACACAGGCGTTCTCTTGGGTTTGTTTTTGTTTGTTTTTGAAGGGATGGTGATGATGGTGATGACATTTTAAATTGTACTTGTTATTATTGTATTTGCATATGATGTGGGGGGGGATGTCACAGAATGCACATGAAGGTCAGAGGACAACTTGGAGAGTTGGTTCTGTCTTCCACTTTGTCCCTGGATGAAATTCAGATTACCAGGTTTGCACAACAAGGGTTTCACCCATGGAGCAATCCTAATAGATCTATGTTTTTGTTTTTGATGCAGGGGGTTGAGCTCAGTGCTTCCTTCATGCTCCATAAGTGCTCTTCCACGGGACTCCCCACACCCACATGCCCAGCCAGGAATAGAACTCTACACTTCGGGAAAGGTAATGATGGCTATGTTTCAATTTTGCAGCAGGAAAATGAAAGCTTACAGGGGGTGTGGGGGGTATTTGCTAATTTGAAGACTACATCCCTATGGAGATTAAATCGGACTAGTGCTAGTGTCCTTTACCTCATTGTGACTTCAGTGAGGTATAATAGGTACACCCTTATGGCTGAGTAAATATTTAGAGTCTAGCGCTCTGATTTGCTTTATGTTAAATGTACTTTAGAAAGTAGAAAGTTTTTTTTATTATTTTGTTTTGTTTTATTTTAAGCTCTATTCATTTTACAAGTGTGAGTGTCTTACCTGCAGGTATATGTGTGAGTCTTGTGAGTGCCTGGTGTCTGCAGAGGTCAGAAGAGGGTATCAGAAACCCCAGAGTTAAGAGGTGTGTGTGTGTGTGTGTGTGTGTGTGTGTGTTTCTAAAAACCTCTCACCCATGTGTACTTTGCTGCTTCCCACAATGAGGACCTCCTGGTTTAATTGGTGACTACAGTGCACACCCGACTCAAAGGAAGCTTGCCTGCCGCGGTTGAACTGGTTCCTGGGTAGCTGCCATTTCCATGTGATCACTATTACGAAAATAACAGCAGGCAATTGAACATTACATAGCAAAACAAAATTAGCATAGAACCAATTCCAGTGGTGGAGAAACTGGCTAATGCTGGTGTGTATACAACTGCTCAGGAACTGGTTCTGAAGTAAACGTTTTAGCCAGGAAAGGACGGCTCTTAGGGCAGATGCAAACATTACAGACCTGTTAGCATGGACTGAACAGAGGCTGTTTACTCACCACAGAGCCTGGAGAAAGGCACGGTGGGAATTTGTGCGCGCTGCTTTTCTTATTGCATATGATTTATCAGCACTTCCGTATCTTCACAAAGTGAATAAAAAGGAAAGCTGTACAGAGCTTTAATTATTTCACCTGAATCTTTTAAAGTTCAAAAAAAAATTAAATCCTGAAAGGTCATGTTCCCATTCTCAAATAAAATTTCCGATAAATAGTTATTTTGAAAATGATTGTTCTGTTTGGTATTGTTACATTTCAGCATCTTACAGTACACTTAAGAAAAAAACTCACCAGATTTTGGGTAGGAAACCAGAAATATGTCATCTTCTCTCGCATCAAAAGTGTCCAAGGAATCGAGGAGTCCTTCCGAAGACATGGCAGAGAAGAGGATGCCCTTGTACTTGTGAAGGAGGCCCGACTGACTCTGGGATGACATCGTCCACCTGATCTACTCAAGGCTGAGTCCCTACACAAGCCGCAGACAGCCCTGGACCTCGGCCACAACCCCAGCAAGTGGCAGAGCAATCTCCGTATCTCTGAGCTGACATTCCATGTGTCTATATATACCTTCTGCAATTCTTCACAAGAATAATTTTTAAACCATAACTGAGCCAAAGTCTATTATAAAAATGGTGTTATCTGTATTTTTCTGATAACACAGGTTACAAAACGTTTTCTTCCACTCAGTTCAGGTTCGTGTGCACAGAATACTACTAGGCAACCAAGAGCAATCAGTGTCAAGATAATACTGCTAACAAAATCCTTTGGTCTAAATAGTTAAAGTCGTTTAGTCACTACAATGAATTACACCACTGAGGGAATGCTTAGAAAAATTAGATTCTTATTTATGAACGCAGTAGCGCAAGTGGCCAGTAGCAACAGTTTGAGGGGAAGGGGACAGAGATGTGGGAAACAAGAGTGTTTCCAGGACTTGGCAGATACACTTTCAACAAACTTTTCTGAGATACGATTTAGAAGAGATACAATGAGAGTAGTAATACCATGGTAAGAAGAGATCTCTCAAGGACATATGCAAACAGGAGCTGGAGAGAGAAGAATGAACTCTTCTGTCAGTCACTTTCAGTATTTGATGATAATATTCCAATATCCCAGATTCCATAAAACACAGTAATGAAACGCTCAATCATTTCAGTGACCCACAACTGAAACTTTGGCTTGCCTAACAATGGCAGGATTAATATATATTAATGAAGAAATGAACAAACTTTTAATTGAGTATCAAAAATAGAGCTATACTAAAGGAGAAATATTTGAAGGAGAAAGATGCCTACGGCAGTAACAGAAATGAAAGATCATACATGTAGGCAACAGCAAGGAATTCACTAACGGGATAAACACGTGAACTGAGAATAGTCACTGGGTTGTGAGGTCAGCACATGACATGAACCGGACACACGTGCTCTGAGAGAAAGCAACGGGAAGTGGAGCTTGACAGTGGGGCTGTAGCTCAGTCCGTACTGTTGCCAAGCCTGTGTGAAGCCCTGGAATGGATGCTCAGCACACGGTGGTGGAGGCCTGCAATGCCAACACCCGCGCATGGTGGTGGAGGCCTGTAATGCCAACACCCAGCACATGGTGGTGGAGGCCTGTAATGCCAACACCCAGCAGGGGTAGCTTGGAGAACTGGAAATTCAAGGTCCTTTTAAAAAATAAAATTATTGTTAGGATTAGGTTTTTAATAGTTAATTTTTGCATCCCTCTGTCCCCATTGGCTCTCTTTTAAACTATTTACCTTTACTTAATTAAAATATAATTACTTCATTTCTGTCCTCCTCCTCCTCCCCCTGTCCCTTTCAAGTCCCCTCCCTAATTCACACCCTCCTTGTTTTTGTTGTTACCTATACATATAAATAAATAGCTATATAAATGAATAACTCAGCATTGCCTGCATCTGTATACTTACAGGGATGACCATTTGGTATTAGACAATCAGTCAATGGGTCTCACCCTGGGACATGCGATTCCCCCTCTCTCAGCAGCTGTTAATCACCCACAGCTCTTTGCCTAGGGATAGAACCCACGAGATTCCCATCATCTCCACTAGGGTATCAGCTGATGCTGGCATTGTTCAGGTCCTGTTTAGGCAGCCATGCTGTTGAGATTTCATGGGTATAGTTTCCCTGTCCTGGCTAGGAGGTACACTCTCACAGCAGACTTCCTGGTTCTCTGGCTCTTACGATCTTCTGCCCTCTATTGATGGTCCCTGAGCCTTGGGTGCAGGAACTGTGTTGCAGATGTACTCACGGGTGCTGGGCATCCCATGGTGAGTTGTTCTTTGTATTTTGACCAGCTGTGGTTTTCTGTGATAGTCTTTATTTACTATGAACAGAAGATCCTTGATGAGGGGTTAGAGCTACATGCATTTGTGAATATAAAGACAAGTATTTAGAATGCAGTCAGAAATTATACTAGTCTAGTAAGTCGTAGGTGGAGGTTCTCTGTTAAGACCCATGACCTCACAAGCCTTTTACTTTCCAGTGCTGGGCATGGTTTCCCTCCTGTTGAATGGGCTTCAAGTCCAAATAGAAAGCTGTTGGTTATCACCAAGAGATAAGCGTTGCTGTGGAAACAGGGATATCTCGCCATGCTGGTCATCATTGTCCTACTCATTACGACTAGGTTGGACTATTGACTGCTTCCTCCCTTGGCAGCTTGCATATCAGTTTCTAATACCATGAAAGCCAGTCCTTAGAGAGGAGGCTTTCCCATCAATTCCAGATAAAATCCCCTGAGTCCTATGTTCAAAGCACATAGGACTTTGAACCTTTGAGTCTTTTGAACTTGGAGTCTTTAGCAACAGGGTCAAACCTCCAGGTTCTAGGAGACAACCAAGGATAATAACACAGTTTTGGGGGAGTCTCTTGTACAACCCTCATCAACACTTCAAAGGGAGGCTTCTCATGCCTTTTACTGGGGTTTCTGCTAGTTTATAGCCCTTTGGGGGAAGGTACTGTCACCTCAAGTGATGTAACTTCATTTAACATATATAATGCATATATTTAAAATTGGTGTTATACGTAATTTCAGGATTCCCTATGTCTTTTCCAAGCACCATTAGGGTAATTTATGCCTCCTTCCTCTTTTTCTGTATCATCCTCCTTCCTCCTTCCCCAACTAAGGCCCTTCCTTGATTTCCCATTTCCCTTTCATATCCCCTGTGTCCCTACTGTCCCACTTTCTAGAGTTACCCTGCATCCCCAGTCCTGGTCCTTTACTCCTGGTTACTGCAGTTACTTCAGATTATTTACTTACACCTGGAGATTTAGAGTTAAAAACCACAGATGAGAGAGAAAGGCCGTGCTTGTCTTTCTGAGCCTGGGTTACCTTACTCGGTATACAATCTTTCTCATCATTCTTGGCTACATAGCAAGTTCAAAGTCAGCCTGGCTTCCATGAGATCTTGTGTCAAAAGAGGAAAAAAGGATTTGAGAAAGGATTTGTAAACCAATACTATTTATGATGATCTGGAAAAGTTGTGTCGAAGTATTAGTCTATCACAGTGAGTCCCAAGGGAGAACAGCGAACAGTCCAGAGACCATTAGTGAGTGCCTATAGAGAAATCATAGAGATAAATCACATCACAGAGCAGGTGACTCAGGATTATTAGAAAGTCTAAATTCTCCTTTTGATTTAGAAAATCAATACTGTTGGATCAAAATCCAAACAGGCAATCACACTTGCCTATCTGCTCATGAGTGAATGACAGTTGGCAACATCTATAAAGACAAGAAAGGTCCTAGAATCGCCAAAGAACTCTTAAAGGGGAAAAAGTCTTAGGACTTCAGAGATTTTTAAGGGGTTCCACAAAGCAGGAATAATTAAGGATGATGTAAACTGAACCTAACACTACACAGATAGACCAACGGAGTCGAAGAAAGGATCCAGAAAATGGCACACACATACATGGCCACTCAATTCAAGACAAAGGAAAATTTGAATAAGCAGAGGAATTTTTTTCAATGAGTGGTATTCATTCTTGGGAGTGACATGAATCCCACCTTATACTATATATAGATAGTTAAATGTTTGAAATAAAACTCTTCCAGAGGAAAACAGGATATCTTCAGAATCTTGAGTAAGGCAAAGACTACTTCAAAGAGATAGATAAAAGTGCTCAGAGTATTACAACTGGACTCCACAAGTGAGGAAGTCATGTTGGTTAAAGTCATCATTAAGGGAATAAACAGCAAGACACAGACTGCCAGAAAATATTGAAACTCATATATTACACTTTGTGCTCATTAGGCAGGCTTTAAAGAAACCCTACTAAGATCAATAGCTTTTTTTTTTAAATCAAACAACTCAAGAATGAGAGGAGAGCTGAATATGTCTTTGAAAAGGGCTCAGCATTAGTACCCTGAAGTAATAGGAAGGCAGCACTAACAGTATCAACAGGGTCTGTTTTCAGAGCCAAGGACCTGGTGACCTACTGGTAGTCAAGAGTGACCAGTCTTTAAAAAATAACATGAATAAGCAAACATTTAGGATAAATTTCTAGAACTTGCCCTAATGGTAGATGACAGCCAAAAATGCTTATTCCAGAAAATCTATGAAAGGGGAAGGACAGTGAGCTGCTTCTCTCTTCAGAGCCCTTCCCTGCCCGCTCAACAAGGACACTCCATCACAGACAGTAAGGTCAAAACACAAGGACCTCCGGGAAGACAATCCCCCCCCCATTCTCAGTTCCTCTAACCACTGAGGTGCCCTCTTCCCAAGTATGTGAGGGAACAGCTGAGGCTGACTATGACAGGAACTTGGGGAGAGTCAGCAGATAGTATATAAACTCTCACTAAGAATAAAACAGGACCAGGAGAACATTAAGCTAATTAATCAAACTGAGCCTGTGTTGTGAGCACTGGATTCTCAAGGGAGGACTCAATCCTCAGCTGGAGGTCACAGGACCTGATACCTGTAGGAAATGGTCTGAGATACAATTAAGTGAAAGACATCAAGGGTGAGATAGATGTGAAAGTCTTCGTAATCAACATTTAGAAAAACCACCTTCACTCCTGTTGGGCTGCTTTCGGCTGTTATGGCAAATGCCTGAGACCAGAGTTGATTTGGCTCAGGGTTTCATAGGCTTCCTGGATGGCCACTGGGCTCCTCTGCTTTAGCCTTGTGGAATCATAAGGAATCATGAGGGGATGTGCACTGGAGAAGGGTTCTATGTCCTGGTAGCTAGGAAGCAACAAGAAAGAGAAGAGAAGGCCAGGGTTCCTTTATCACCTTGGGGCATGCTCCCAATGGCCTCCCTTCCTGCCACTGGGTACCTGCTCTTAAGGGTCGGCCACCTACCAATAGCATGGCAGGCTGATGTGGAACCATCTTCTGTGAACAGACAGTTCTCATTCTAACTCTGGTGATTCCCATAAGCAAAGCTTTTGTCTTTCATTAATTATTCATTTGACCTTCTCAAGCTTTTACTTTCTTAGAAAGAGAGAGAGAGAGAGAAAAACAGAGACAGAGACAGAGAGAGACAGAGAGAGATTGAGAGAGAGAGAAGAAGAGAGATTGAGAGA